ATACTGTTCTCAGTATCCTGTACCTACAGTTGTACCATTAACAATATCTGACCGACTCTCAAAACTGCCACAGGCGAGTTTCAGCCAGAGAGATTAAGACAAGGTGGATTCACACATGAACAATCAGCAGCAAGACCCGCGAGATGTTTTGCGGTTGCCATGGAGATCGATAGTACTACCCAGTAGTGCGTGGTCAATCTGGTCCTCAGCAGCCAGCACCTCTCTGACAGCTGCCTCGAACGCAGCTGTGACATTAGTGTCATCCTTAGCACTCGTCTCAAAGTACGGGCAGCAGCCGCTCTCCTCACACCAGGCCCGAGCTTCGTCCCCCCCCACCTCCCTCTGATCCATGTCCACCTTATTGCCGAGCACCACAAAAGGGAAGCGCTCAGGGTCTTTCACATCAGAGTAGTACATGAACTCTTTCTTCCAGCCGCCGAGGTTCTGGAAGCTCTGCAGGTCGTTCACAGCGAATGTGAGCAAGCAGCAGTCTGCACCTCGGTAGAAGGGGGTGCGGAGGGACTTGAATCGCTCCTGGCCTGCTGTGTCCCAGATCTGAAGAGTGACCAAGCGCCCGTCAACCTCCAAGTCCCGGTTCAGGAACTCCACGCCGATGGTGTGAAAGGACTGGGAGTCGAAGCGGTCGGTGACATAACGGTTCATGAGGGAGGACTTGCCCACCCCACCGTCTCCCAGCAGGATCACCTTCAGGAGCAGACTCTTACCGCTGATCATGTTTCCTCTCACCCAGCAAGGCCTCCACACCAGGTGGCCGACCAGGGTTGATTTAACCTAGAAAGAGGAAGTAACATAACATTGATACTTACTACACAATTAAAGAGAAATGCAAATCACTATAGGAACTGAAACCTAGTACATTTTTAGAAAACACCAGAACACAAGTCTGTGGACTTTACTTCACAGATGATCCAGTGTAGATAACTAGGAAAACATGCTGTTCTTGCAACATTTGTTTGAAAAAAAGAGATGTGTAATGGATTACTAGTTTCAGGGACACCGTGACAGGGGTGAAGGACCGAGATGTCTTCCAAAGGTCTCTGTTTAAAGCTCGGGGAGGACCACAGCCTTAAGGTTTACTCCATGGCTCATGATAACCTACACAAGCCATAGCGTAAAGACCTAAAGATTAACGTGCCATAATTAAGATAGTAGTTTTAATGACGTAAATAATCATTCCTACGCCACAACAACAGGGGCGAGTCAGGATCATGAGCTGACTCTGGGGACAGCCTCTGCACCTGCGCAGAGCCCCAACATGTACCAGCTTGTTGTCAGATGTTTAATGCTGGCTAACCTGCATCTCCAAGAGTCTCTGCGAGACTCTGCATGAAGTGCTAGAGCAGAAGTGAACTAGGAACCGAAAGAGGTAACAGGTTTCTAAAACCTCCAATGCAATGCAACAGGCAAAAAACACTGCTAAATCGTGTAGCGGCTTAGAAAACCATGACAGCCAACTAACAAGCTAGCCGGCTACTCTGGAGGCTTGTTGACATTCAGGCTAACCGCTAGCATCAGCGCAAATGCTAATCAAAACTACTTTAAAAGCAGCAAAAGAACAAATGTTGCACTGAGATGATTTACCTCTGATTGTATTCGTCTTATTTCAATATAAAAAATCCTGTATTTTGACTCACCCTGTCACTATCGCTGATATTGCGCTGTCTGCCCTCCTCCCCTACATCTGACTGACTGTCGGTCGTGACATGCGCGCCCCCATTGGGAAGCTGCACGTGCACACCGCCCAGACAGAGCGAGGTCCTAAAGCCCGTTCAGCGTCGCTGTGAGATTACATCGATAGATATTTACTTTATTTATCCCAAATTGGGAAATTGTTTTGTTACTAAAAATTCAATAAAATACAAATAAAATAAATATTAAAAGCAAATATATGTTTGTATTATTATAGATTAGTTTGAGATGTACACTGTAGCCTGTGAGGTGTATGCATGTCTTTATACATTCATCGCACACATGTTTTGAAGTACATTTTGAATTGGAAATAGGACTACTCACTTGAGTCTTAGTTTGCTATGGTACTTGTGCTTCACAACAGTTCAGGAAAATATAGTACCAGTGTTACCAGTGGTTTGAAGTAACTGATTCATTCACTCAAGTGCTGTACCTAAGTAAGATTTTGAGAGATTTGTTGAATTGAATATCTCGGGTTTTTTGCGGTATATTGTGTACTTTTAGGCCACTACATTTATTTAATACTTTTAGTTAGGCCTACTTTACAGATTTAGATTAATGATGTGAAATATAAACAACACTAAAATAAGACTTTGGTTACACCTAAAGTAAATTCACAAGCTACCCTGCAGTATACAAAGTCATTAAAACTAGCTGCACCTTTACCAGCTTTGATAACTTTAAGGTATCAATAGACCAATCTACACAATGAGTAGCCTACTTGGTACTTTTACATACAATTACATTTAGCTGACAATACTTTTGTACTTTTATTAAGTAACATTTTGAATGCAGGATTTTTAGTAGCAGGAGTACTTTTTCCAGCTCCGCCTTTAACTCTGTTACATTTATTTGACAGATTGTTGCTTATTAGTCACTTTGCAGATTAATATATGCAACATACACCCTGATTGATTATAATAAACTGCCCAACAGAATGTAGCATCAATTAGATCAATTCTTTATTTTATTTTTAATTGTTGACCACAACATATTACTATACCGACTAGAAAACTGGGTGGGACTTTCGGAAACAGTTCTAAATTGGTTTGAATCACTTAAAGGACAGAAACAACTTTGTTTCTATAGGTAAATACAAATCTGAGTTGACAAATATGACATGTGGGGTTCCTCAAGGCTCCATCTTGGGGCCTCTTCTCTTTAACATCTACACTGGCTCAGATAATGAAAAACAACTAAATAAGTTAACATAGCTATGCGGATGACACACACATTTACTGTACATAACCATTTCACCAGGAGACTATTCTCTAGTTGAAACACTGAGTAAGTGCATTGAACAAATCAATGACTGGACTGTGTCAGAACTTTTCTTCAATTAACCAAAAAAAAACTTGAGGGTAATGGTCTTTGGAGCCAAGGCAGAACGTATAAAAGTTAGCGCTGAAGCTTCAGCGCTGCAACGTTCAAAACAACAGATAAAGGCCAGAAATCTAGGTGTAGTCATGGGACTCTACCTGAGTTTCAACATTAAAAACAGTTACTAAATCAGCCTACTATCAACCTCAAAGAATATATTCTAGGATTAAAAGACTAATTCACAGCAGGATTTGGAAAAATGTGTCCATGCTTTTATCTTCAGTAGACTCGACTACTGTAATGGTGTCTTTACAGGTCTCACTNGGTTTGAAGCCTAGAATTGTCCAAAATGACTTGGTAAGATAAAGCAATAAGAATCCGCTCGACCGGAGTGGCCTAGGCCAACCCCAGAAAAATAACCCCATAGCATTATCCCTCCTCCACCAAACTTTACAGTTGGCACAATGCAGTCGGGCAGGTAACGTTCTCCTGGCATTCGGCAAACCCAGACTTCTATGAAAACCCATGAAGTTCCCACAGTTTTGGTGCTGATATTAGTATATATATTAATGCCACAGCTGGTTTGGAACTCTGCAGTTATTGAGTCAACAGAG